TCTATTAATTTCGGATAAACAAACATCTATATTTATAATTATATAAATATATATATAGAGAGAGGTACATTCATTTTCACTATAAGTATATTATAAATTTACTTTACGAAATAAAATGTTCTGTTATTTATAAAATATACCATATATGGGTGTTATGTAACTATAAAATAGTTATCTATCTCCAAATTCGGATTTCCTGTTTCGTTGGGGTTAGACTACATCTCAATAATTATTTTCTTGTTACATTTTACACATGTATATATAATATATATTTTGCACGAATACCTTCACTTTTCAAATATATCACTTTTCGATTTTGAAACAATAGCTTAAAATTTCCCAGTCGTGAGCCACCTTTATCTGCAAGCATTCAATACAACATTTTTTTTTATTATAATTATTAAAGTATTGCCTCATGGGTGAGATTTTTCTTCGTGCATCATAATAACCAAGTGGTTATGATTGTTACTCCAGTGTTTATAATATTGACTATACAACAAGTAAAAGAAATAATACTTTCCATACGCAAATTGCTCAAGGGGGAATCTCGATAGTTCGATGCACTTTGCAAACAAGACTTGTTATAAAATAATGGACTGCGTCTTCGAGTCTTCCATACTCTGCAGATAATTTTTAAGTAATATTTACATATTTAGGATCAGTTATGAAACGACAACTATGCCGCGTGGCTTAGCGTTTACTGTACCTAATGCATGCTGTCAATTATAATGAGTAGCTATTTGTTTTTCGAAGGTATATTATATAGTGCATTAGTGTAATGTTTTAAACATATACCTATTATTCTTTTGAATATACATAATATTTACCATATTGTGTGAATGGAATGTATGGAAATTTGTTATTGTTTTCAAATAAGTATTTGCTGGAAATTATTTTCCATTCGAAAAATACGACGGCAGCCGTTCAAAAACCAAAAGCTCTAGCTATTTTAATATATAGCTAAAAGAGTGAGAGAGATTTTAGAAAACTTGAATATTTATATACCTCTGTATACTTATGAGTTATGTTTATAATACTGGTTAAAAACTAAAATAAAAACCTTACACATGCTAAACATTTTTAAAAATCATTGCTAGTTTATACGTATAGATGATAGATTACTATGTTTATGATAATAGTAGGTATCTGTGTTCACTTGTCTTATACACATTTTTTTACTTTAAAATCTGAAAGATATTTATGATACACGAGTTTATATAATCGTACGCGTCAATATCATAGTTATTATTGGTTTTTCGAAAACGCACTAAGAAATAAAACAAACAATAGTCATTGCAATTAACACGAATAATAGCATACCTACTAATTTTAGAGAATTTAAAATACCAACAGTCTATTTGTTCAGTTAATATAAATTCCATCATAACAATCTTCAATACGTGTTTACACGTATAATTTAACTAAACAAAAATGCGCGTTTATCGGGTTACTTTTTCACTTGTTTCATTGTTTGGAAATAGGAAGTGAAAAATATAAATTAGGAAGGTACGTTTCCGGATTAATATTATGATAAAAAAATCATATAACCATAATTAGTATGTGAAATTAATTTCTTAATTTCGTTTTCTGTTTAAGATTTAATAATGCACTAGATAATATTATGGATTTAGCCAAATAGAAATAGCCACACAGGTACAAAATTATGGATTTAATTTTGTCATTTTATAGACAAAAGATAATTTTTGAGAAATGTTATAACTATGTTAGCGCCTTATTATTACTAATAAATTTTTAGATGTATAGTTTTAGAAATAAATTATTAGTTATTAGTATACAGCATACTGAAAACCTGATGCTTTTTAATTTATTCGTGGTTATATTTAATTTATTTGTTCATAAGTCCATTAAAAATCTTTTAATTTTTAAGCACTTTTCCATCTCGTCAACAGATCTTTAACTTTAAACAAGTACGTAATGTTAATATACCAGAAAATCTGATCGCTAGTATTAATTTCTTATTGATAGGTAAAACTAAATATGTATATACCTCCACCAAATAATTGATCAAATGGATTAGTTATTTTTATTACTATTATAATATAATATTTTACTAACTTTAGACTAATTAGTAATTACTTTATAATACAATTTATATGTTATTTTTTTCGTTTTCGATCAATCAATAATCAATCATTAGATATAATTATTCTTAGTTCATATTGTTAATGCCATAAAAACACGTCAATACGTCATATTATAATCATATGAGAATTTATGATAGTTAGTAATACCTAACTATAATAAATAATAACTAGTAAGTTTATGATTTTTTGTATACATTAGCGTGTTTGGTTATGTACTCAAAACATAATATACGTTATATACCTATCTGGGATATGCGTATTGTATATACGTGCATTTACTCGACTGCATATTATCTATATTATATACTGCAGCTCACTTACCTATATCTTTAGTGACTTAATATATGGTGGGTATGTGTGCACCTATTTGACATATTATAGTGTTGAAATTTTACTAGATATATCTATCTCATATATAAGCCATAACTATTAAATATATTTTATACTATAACCACACCTATGTATGCTCTATTTCTAAAACATAGTAAGTAATCTCTACGGAACCATATGGTGTTAAATATTTTACATTTCATTCAACTGCACCCTTTAATTTGTGTTCATACGTGTTTACTGTTTACGTATTATTCAGGCTAAATGTTTAAATATTCATGACACAATATATATATGTTATGTTCCTAAGTCCCAAGTAATATCTCACGGCCTATATAAAACAAAAACGTCTAATTGTAAGTTGGAATGATTCACAGAATAATGCACTACATTTAGGTATGCGTGTATATTTGTAAGTCTATAACAATGTAAAATTACAAACCTAGAAAATAGTTTGTACTCGACGTTTTCAATTAGTAATATTTAATAATATGTTCTTAAGTCTAAACCCGCTACAGTTACGTCTAATCGTGATAGATATCAGTTTTTATTTTTAATGATTAACACTAATCAGTTAATAACGGTTAGTAAATATTCGAATTATTATAACGGCCAAAACGTTAAATGTTACACTGATAAGTACAATTTAAAAATACGTGCCAATAGTGTATACCCGATATTTCCTTAATATTACGACTGGATAGGTTTCAATAATGGCCAGCGAACTTGTTGTGATTCTTGGTTGTATAGCAATGGATATTTTCAGTGTGGTTTTTAATGAAATATTATCCAACTTCCAAAATGTTTGAAATAAACATCTACTAACACCTTAACTGAAATACTAAGATAACGTATTCTAAGAATATTGTAGCATTTTATTATTCTATTTCATATGCTTGTATTTTTATTATAGACACGATGTATTTAAAATCAAGATTAGTTAATTTGTTTAACTGTTTACTCAGTTAGTATAATGTGGCTTCGAATAATGGAAACAAAATATAAAATGGTTGACACTTGACAATGTCAAACTGTTTTGTGACGATGAATACATTATACGGGTACATAAATTGTAATATAAAAAATCTATCATTAAAACTAAAACATATTTTATTTAATTATAATAAAAATTGTTTCATACTTTCATATTCGCATATTCGATATATAATATATACATATATAAAATTTAATAATTAGAATTTGAAACCCAAGTGCATGTTTTATAAATTTATAATATTCAGAACACTATATTTTCAATTAAAAAGTTTTTTTTTAAATTAAATATTTAGAAAAATTAAAACCTGGTGGCTGGTGTGGTGGCAATTAACAAAATATATTACGTTGTCATCTGGGTAGAGTGCTTAATGTATAAAAATATATATTCTTCATGCTGGTTCGGCTGTAATTCTGCTACAGGTATGATTTAGTGATTACATCTCGAGTCGGTATTTTTGAGTTTTCAAAAGAAAAAAGTTGTAAAAACGTAACGATCATACTGATTACTGAAAAAAAGACAAACGACTTAGTTATAATTATAACGGCATTTATTTTCGACGACCATATAGGTAAAATATGCCTAATGTGTGTGCCTCTCTAGTCTCTATAGATAATATGTATCTAGTCATATTAAGTTAAACCTCATATATCACAAAGTAAAACGTGCGAATCCGATGTCTCCCGCTTCGTGAGGTTATCTGCGCACAATTCTACGCAGCTATAATATGTGCCTACAACGGAAATATATACTTTTTACTATTATGTTAACAATAATAATATTAACTACCTCTGTACCTTCAACTCTATACGTGTCTACGTGTCGAAGCACGGGTTGTGCGTATAGTTCCTAAACGAGAGTTCATAGCACTTTAAGTGTAATTATTTACAATATTTTTATTATTATTATATTATTTCGTATCGCTTTCTTGAGACACGCCGCCGCCGGTGCAGGTATAATATAAATATAATAATACATACCTATAGTATAATATTATACATATACGTCTACCGACGATTTCGTAACGTCCGAGGACCCAAGTGCGCCACGCCGGGTTGCCCCTTCCCCGCGGCCCAGTTAGTGCATATAGTTAATTAACGGCGAACACGACCGCGGGATATTATTACGATGAATGGACCTCGGAAGCGTATATTATACAGTGTGATTAAATATTTTTTCGCGCTCGATTCTCTCAGACGGGTTTAATGCGTCGGCGAGTCGGCGATTTCGTTTATAATTATTATCAATTCTGACGGTGCTTGAACTTTGACGAAAAAAAAATGTAAAAGTTTTTATATTTTTTGTATGTACACATTACACACGCAATGGTATTCCGTTTTTCCATACCATTGAATGGTAAAATAACTATGATACGTAAATAAAAAATATTTATTGTCAAAATGATATTAAAACAAGTTACCACAACAAAATCCAAATGTAGGTTTAATTTTTTTTTAATCATATTAGCTGGAAATTATATAAATAATGTATACTTACAAATAAATGTATAGATTAAAAATTAATTATTCTGTATTTATTTAAATTTTTTGCATTCGTATTTTAATATTCAGGTATTATTGAATGTGTATTGTGTATGTACATTTTTTGTAGCCTTGACTTCTAAAATAAACAATCCAATTTTCACTCTGAAACTAAAATTTAAATCGTTTAATTTTTGAAATATAATTTCCCTATATCCAATAATAATAATTATCCGGAAATTATATCTATCCGAAGAGCATACTAAATTAATTACCGGGTGATTAATTACATGGTATTTTATATATTTTACCTTTTTTTTCGGACGTAACTTACCATATTCTATTTTTTTGGCATTACATTATAGGTAGCAAACGTCGACGTGTTATTGTTTAAATACAATATTCCCTGCAGGTGTCAGGTTAAGTATGGGGAGGTTCTATATGTCATTTTAAGAATTGCAATTTGAAAAAATCTTCAATTCAATTCGTACGTTTTTTGCTAAAATATGTACCTACTTGATTATACTTTCTATTAATTATAATTTACAATCTATGTTATGTTTAGGTACCTACACACCCTACAGCTAGAATACATTATATTATTATTTATTTCATTAGATTTTTGTCAAATATTGAGACGTGTTGAAATGCACTCGGCGTGTATTATAGTGCAGAGCGCGACACGACGTATTGTAATATTCTTATGACGTTATCATTATTATGGTTATTACTGCATCACGACGACGATACCGCCGCCGCGGAATGCGATCGACGAAGAATTCCTGCAGTCGCGCCGAGACCGTGTGCCGGGCGACGACGATCGGTGTGGGTAACCGGTTTGTGTGTCGTCCGCGCGCGGTTCGCTCTCCAGCGCTCCTGTCCCCTCGCCCGGCTAGGTACGGCCTATTATATACCTATGCAACGCACACCTCAGCCGCCGCCGCCGCCGCCGAACTGGCGATCCAGGTACTCGCCGGGCTCTCCCGCGGAACAGTCTCTTGGCGCGTGCACGCCGGCCCGCTCGCGCGATCGCCACTGACCGACGTCGAGGCGGTACAATAATTAGAATTCGACGCGAAAACCATACAATACGATCCGTGCGACTTTTCATTAAATACACACACGATCTTCGAGTACACGAAAAATACTCACACGAACGTCGTGATTTTTTTCGTCTTCCGAACTTCCGAGCTTTCGTCGGACGCTCGCGGTAGTGTTTCCGGTGCGCGCGCCTCCAACGTTGAGCGGTGTGCTCCGCAGACGTCATCTCGACAAGCGCGACGTAACGGCGTGCAAGACCTCCGACCGGTATACGCTTTTCGTCTTTCCACTTGGGCGTCGTCCGCACAAGGCTGGTGTAGGCGTAAGGCGCACACAAGTGTATGATATAATATTTTATAGGACGAATGTGACTTGTTCGCTAGGACGAAATGCGAAAAGGGTATGACGTTTTTCGATATGCCTGAGTAGAAAATCTCAAGTTTTTCCGGCCACGATTGCACGATATACGATACACGTGACAAATATTATGACATCCAAACTGTATGAGTTTTTTTTCCAACTATATTGCAACGTTTCTGTCGAAACCTCGCCCTTTTGGATTATAATAAAAGTAAATACTTAATATATTGATAAGCAAAACAGCCACACTCATTGTAGTCAGCAAAAATGAGAGAAAAATCATATATCCGACATTATATCATGTCAATATTAATTGATTACCATTATTCGCATCGACCATCGATTTATCAAAATTCCACTCATATTCTATATGAAATCGCTGAAAAGGACGGTGTTGTCTACCCGATTAAATATCTACGATTACATAACTTTTCAACCATCTGTGGTTAAGTATCACTGCAGCGTTTAGCGCACATCTTTTTTTTATGTAATTTGTCGACAGTGATACACGTTAATATAATATCCAATAGCCGAATATATTATTATTATTTATTATATACTCGTTTGTTTATGAAATACCGATGATTCTTTCATTATTTGTTCATATAATAGTATGTTAATGTATATATATTTTATATATATAGTATGTACTGTGTGTCCACAAAAACAAAGTACATGGGTACGCTCTATAACTCAGTTACTTATACTATTCATCAGTACATTACACATATTTTTGAATTCTGTTTGCGGGACTTGAGACTTAGCTATTGGATCATAAATTACCATGACTTACAATTTTTGAACTTTTATATTTTGGGCATGCGCAAAACCTCACTTTTTCGGTGTACTCTGTTTTCGTGGACACACAATATTTATACATATATATATATGTATAATGTTATACACGTATGTACAGTTACACGGTCTGTATTCACATGTGGCGTATCATGAAGGTTTGACACATTTTAATGTACATGTGTCATACATTCATGATATACACCTCGTCTTTGCACAATATACAAGGGGTCGGTCATAATATAAATGTAAAGTAATTAATAATGTATTTAAATTCAAAATATCTTTTTCTAAGCTTAATTGTAATATTGGTTGACACTTTTATATAATACACGAAATAAGTTGAAAAATATAGACACCTGTTGCCTGTTGTCTGTTGAACAGTTCTAATTTACACACAAATTGAACCGGAAAATACTTCAATTTTGTCACATCGTTTTTCAAAGTAAAGTATAGTAAATTATACATACAATTCAAAAAGGAAGCGATAATTTTAATTCAGAACTGAAATTACCCGATACTAAATTTATACTGAAGTAGAATTTTGTTTTTTACATATAAGTAAGTACATTCTATATTCAGTAAAATAAAGAAAAATGTGCATTATAAATTTCGTGTTTAACTAAATATAAATAAGCTCAAACGATAAAATTAAAATTAAAATGTACATTGTATATAACTGTATATTAAGATAATCAATTATTATTATGATTTAGCTGCATGACCTGATAGTATGAGTTCAAAAAAAAAAAACAAATTTGTATTCATAAACCAGTTATTATGTCATTTACGTGGATTATACGTAGCCCGTAGGTATCTCTTAGTTTATTACATCAAGTTTTCTGTGCACAATATACACATATATTATTACATACATATCTAAACTGCTATTTTTTGTTTTCTTACTAACATTTGCCATAGACGTTAGTCTGTTGATAATCTACATATTTCAATAGTTACCGTTTACTCTACAACAAAAGTAAACAACAATTATAACGCATTTTATGTCTTTATAAATAATTTAATACAAATTCATTTTTATATTATGACTTGTTGACTTTGTCTAAATGCTTGCGTAATCATGTATATTAACGGTCACAAATTCCGTTAAATTTTAAACAACTGTTGCATTGATGAAAAAAATTAAACACTGTATATTGCATGAAAATTATGTAAAAAAAAAATAGTAAAGGTTCAAAATTACATTAAAATTTCATTTTTCTTCGTTTTTATATAAGAGAACATTGAATGTAGTTTAATAATATACAAAACTATATGTTCAAAATCGTGTATTTCTCAAACATTTCTCACATTAATTATTGTAATATTCATGGCTGAAAATGAGTGATGTCCGTGACTTAAATTTTCATATTTTATTTTATGTTTTTACCCGGCATTCATTAGTTCAAATATAGCAGGTCAAACAAATCAAACAATTCATTAAACTCATTTCAATATATTATTCATATACCGACCTCAGCTAGTATATTGGGTACCTATCTCATACAACACTGTCGATATAACAATTATTAGTTATTCTTTGGACGACTTTTGGATGTCTATTGTTCGTTGTGTAACAATATTATTTGCTCATTAGTATGCATAACGTGACGTGAAAAACAAAAACTAAGATTTTTTGCTCAATATACTTAACATTACTATACATTTATATATTATCATATACCTATATATATGCATACGTTTCCCAGGCCACGCATTTATAATTCCTAATTTCACGATTATGCACTATTAAATAAAGAAGATATCATACTTGTACGATTTTTTCTCAAAAAAATATGCATTAAATCACGAATATGGATAAAAATATCACGCCTACGTCGGATTTAGCTTCTCTGGACTGCTGGGATTATACAATCGAGTTGGAATGTCTTCGCGGTCCACAAGGTATATACACATTATACGTATATAGTCTATATACTAAACAGTAAACAGATTTGACAAATATTATATCTTAATATTATAAAATACTTTTACAACATACCCGTTACTTTTTTAAATAAAAAGTAAAAAAACATACATTAATGTTCTCATTACATACTTACATTAACATCATGAACAACATTTATTCACGAATAATTTTAAAGAGAAAATGTTTGATGGTAAAAAAAACTGTTCAACACACTTGCTTACTAATTATACATTATATGTTATCAATTTCTTATAAATCAATCAAAAACTTGTCTTAACTAAAAAAACATAATACTCTTCAAAAAGTTAAATATACCGCCTAAACGTAATATAGAATTTAATGTTCATGCAATAATATCCATATTATATTATAATGTAGTAAATTATAATTATATTGGTTTGTACTGATATGAGAAATTATAATTTTTTTAGAAAGTTACGTTGATTTTAATTTGTTTAGTAAATAATCAATTTTTAATGATAAGTACCTAATGAAAAATTGCAATCGAATAGGTAGTTACCAATTGTTTCTTGATGTAAGTACAATTCACATTACTAAATCTAATTTTAAATTAAATTAATGCTGTATATTAATAGGTACCTACTCGTGTATATTGATATACACTTACAATAAAATATGTTAGTACGAAATATATAATTGTAATTGAAAGTTTTATGATATAATATTTTGTTTCACTATGCATTTAAATAGTTAGGTTTAATTAAAATTACGCGATCAAGTTGAAACTATATAAGTAATTAAATAATTATAAAATGTATTCCAAATCATTGATTTCAATAGGAAAATTATACGTCTAATCATAACTAATTGAGAATTAAGTACCTAGTATTTGAACTCAAATATCGATATAATTATATGATGGTGTAGTCTATAATAATAATATATAAACTATGAAATGTGTACCTACACATTTATATTAAAATACATACATAAATATATAGCCATATAGGTAGTTATTATAGGTAGGTAGGCAGGTACCTAAATATCATTTCATTTCCATCTTTAATGCCTACCTCCATATGTCTTTCTAACTTTCAACTGAACTAATTGCGACTGTAGTTTAGGTTTTATGTACCTAAGTGTATAAAATATAAAAATATATTTTTGTCATAAATTGGTCGAAAGTGTATACCTAGCTACGTGAGTGTATATATAATATGAGTTTTTGTCTGGTTTTTGATGATTATCAAAAAGCCACAAAACAAAAATAAAGTATCGTTTTATGCAATAAGAATTACTGCCAACTGCCAAGACCAACCCAGCTGAGTGCGCAACATCGTTATAATATATTATATAGCTTTAACGAAAACCAATTCGTGTGTTCAGTTGTATTACAATCGAGGTTAACCTGATAGGCTAACCCAGTTAGTGTAAGCTTTCAATGAAAAAACCAAATCGGTACGAAAATCAAAAAAAAAATAGTTTTCTCCGTTTGATCACGAAGTCTCGCCGAAGAACCTTCCTAGCTTCCTTCTATGGAATTACGACGCTTTCGAAATACCATGTTTATGTTTAACTATACCTTCTTATGTAGGTATTACACTATTACGAACACCGGACGAGGCGATTACTCCCGAAGATCACGACCGATCGATATAATTAGAATAAATCTCGGTCTTTGACAAATCATTTAAGTTAATAAAGAAGCGTTATAGTAGGTACACACGACGTGATAATATAATTATTCGATTTCTAAGTGGAAATCTCGAATTCAATCATGAAATCGTTGTTATTGTTCGTTATGAATTTATAAAGTGTATTATTATTTATTATTGTACGTAATATAGGTAGTGTAAATTGATTGCTTTCATAACTTATTTATAATCGATTACGTCGTGTTGCAGACTTACAGCTAGCTGCTGAGCTAGGCAAAACTCTGCTGGAGAGAAATAAAGAATTGGAAAACAACTTGAGGCAACAGCAAAATGTCGTGGAAGATCGCAATCAAGAGATCGAGGTAATAGATAGTTTATGATTTAAATATTGAACCGTAATATAATAACATAACCTATGTGAAAAAATTGTCAAGCTTCAAAACATGTGTTTTTACAGTAACCTAAAAAAGACAATGCATGGATTATTTCGTATTCACTGCACATATACCTACGCAAAGAATGCGTTTTGTCTCGAAGTTCAAATTGTGACCACGTCTGGCTACAATAATAAAAATAATATGCGTTACTTGATAATAAAAATAGATTGTAATGACTTGTCATCCTGTACGCCTCATATTTAGTTCACGACATGTAACAATATTTCATTTCTGTTAATTATATACACTTTAACATTAAATTTTGTAGCCATATATATATGCAGCGCTCAGGAATTTAAGTATAATTTATAATATTATGTATATGGCATTAGAAAAAAAGACGTATAAATCAATCATTCGGTAGTTCTCGCTATATTTTGCAATAATTGTATAAACGCGAATGCCTTTATAGCATGTACCCACAGGTGCTTGAACTAGATTCTTTCCCACTGACATTTACTAATTAATTAAACGTGACTTTGAATTGTTCTGCACTGCGGCTGCGCAGTCGTAGGTAGTATACAAATAAAAGGACGAGATTAAAAAAAAAAAACAAAATTACAGCTCAGACCTTCTGGTTAATATTTGAAATCATCATCAACGATCATCGTCGTGTTTCATCTGGTTTTGTAAGACGCCGGCCGTAGGCATTATTTTAATATAGCTGTGGGCTGTGGCAATGTTCCAACGATGCAACGGACTCTCAGCCAGAGACCTTTCGGCATGAGGTCGGGCATGTAGTCACTGGGCACATTTTTTTCAGTCTTGATCCCCGAGCGCGTCGAAACGATTTCGTTGTACCTATATAAGGTTCAATAATCGAATTAATTTTATTATACGTGCGTAACATAATATAACATACGTTTAGCGAGCAAAATGAATTCTATTGAAAATCTGACCGAATGGCCGGTCTTTCAAAAAGCCAACGAACAAGCCATCGGTTTGAATTTATACGAACTGGTCGTAACCGACTCTTTGATATGTTGGCAGTATCTTACCAAACAAACGGCCGCTCTGAGAGAAGTGAACGATTCCAGGCTGCGCATTTACGAGCAATTGGAAATCAGTATTCAGGATCTAGAGAGAAATAACCAGAGGCTTGTTCAAGAAAACATAAACGACAAAAAGCATATAAAAAGGTAACGTAGTCGTATATTATCTAGCGTTCTGCATAATGTATAGTTTTATTTTTTTTTATGGAAAACCGATCGTTATTCAATTCAATTGTATTACTTACCTATATTATCATACTTATAGTTTATACGATACAATCGAAAGTTTGGAAAGTCGCTGCGAAGATTTGCAGCACCTGGTCGACGACATGGGTCATCTAAAGAAAGACGACAGCGTGGTCAGCGAAGGCAGCGGCAGCGGAGGAGCCGTGATCGAAGATCAAGATGAATATGCTAAACTTGCTTCACAATTGGAGCATGCGAAAAATCTAAGAGTCAAGGAACAGAGAAAAGTGTCTGAACTAGAACAAAACGTGTCCTTACTTATACAGGTAAATTCTAAAAATCGTGAACGGAATTAAGCAATAATAGTAATAAAATGTTCGATAAAAGTGTATTAATATAAATTATAATATAATAAAACTATGTTGAACGCGTGTTACTGCAATAATATTATAAACCTATATCGTTTGCACTATACGCGCTGTATACACACACTACATAACAAGAAATCATATCAGATTTTAAAACAATTTTTTAATTATTAATTTTTATAGGAGAACACCAGTCTAGAAGAAAAAGTGAGTGTAATGCAACAAAAAGACGAAGAACTGAAAACGCTCCAAGATCAAATCGTCTATTTAGAAGAGATTAGGTGGGTCAAAGGATTGTATTAAACAAATAAATTATAACAGACAACAGTCTGTTGTGTGTGTACAATATACACATAATAATATAGAATGATACGTCAACGGTAAACTATAAATACATCTAAAGTTAGATCGAATAACAAAATATTTTAAGACTATAATATTACTATAGTTCCGTACAATTTTCATAGACAAATAATTAATCATTTCAATTGATAAAATCAAGTAGTTACTATTAAAAAATACGTAATACCTAATGCATTTATTTATAAAAATAATGAAAACACGTTTTCGCCAATAATATAGGTACAAGTACGGACGGTACAGTATTCACCTACCGGTTCCTTCTTAATGATTATCCTTGAAAAATGGTTTATCTACCTATATTTCTGGGTTCAACGCGGAAATAATAAATAAACAATCATACCTACGTATTACGGGTAACTTTTGGATCAAATAAATTAATAATTGTTTAATGTAAACTAGATGTTTGTTATTATTTATTAGATTCTAGAAAAATAATTCGACTATAAATCTTAAACCGTACAATAGGCATAAGTTCGGATTTAAATTTTAAAGATTAAAATTTTAAAGTTCAAAAGATGAATAATAATTAATAGCTTTTCAATTTTGAACACTGCGTTTGGTACAGACCAAACATATTATTTTTTGTTTTAAAAATATTTTTTAACTTTTATCAACCATTTTAAACAAACTATCTTACTTTTAAATTTAAGCAATAAATGATAGAAGTAATACATTCTAGGAGAATTATTTTTTTTTAATAATAGAGTAGGTATAGCTTAGGTATAGTATTCTTAATGTGATAAGAATGGCATTGCTCATTACTCATTAGTCTTTAGTTTCATAATATTATATATGACATATGTATTATTTTGTATATACTTACCCATATTCTAATACTTAATTAGATCAAAATAATAATTAAGTAGGTACCCAAAGTCTTATAAAGTCAATTTGTTTTTTAGACAAGGAAATCTATGTCGACGTTGTCAGCGCAGTACTGACCCAAACCTATTCGACGAGTATTCAGTGTACGACGACGATGATGACACTGATGATATTAGCGCTATAGGATCATATGTCGAAACTCACAAACACGAAGTCTTGCAACAATTACAAGTATGTTGTTATTCTTAAACTGCAAAGAATTAAACGTGATACGCCGATGCGGGTGCATTGTTATAAGACATGTTCATCAGGTGGAACCCAAACGTTTTAAATTACGAGTACCTAACAATAACCTTACTTTAAATGTATCTGCGTTTTATTCCATGATATTTAATATGAAGCGACTTCGAGTTTGAGATTTTAATGCGATCCTTTAAATCTAAAAAGCATTTATTTTTACTGTAAAAATAATCGCCGAGTAGAATAATTAAAAATAAAAATTAGCCTCAGACGTCTGTATAAGCCGTATAAATTATTATGAGTCATTACAATTTTCAAACGTGAGCTATTCGAAAAACCTAAACAGGATATTTGGCATTTCGCCTGAAGTAAAACGCTTAACGACGATTATTGTGTTATTTCGAGGTCTGAGGATCCAGACTCTTTGACATTTTAAATCGGGTCACGACGCGAAAAGTTTTTAAGCTAATGGTCATAGGCGCAGTGTGTAAAATACAATAGGTACCTACTACCAAAGTGTAAACTCACACTCGCGCGCTGAACGAAAACTAAAAACAGTCATGTCCACCATCAATCAATCACATCTCTCATTCATCGGAAAATCAATTGACGAAAAGTAATAGCGTCGAAATCAATTTAAAAAAAGTGGACCAATTCAACTATAAAAGACTTAACCAACATGATATAACACGATAAACACGTTTATGATTTTTACCCAAAAATGAATAGTATAATATTATTATTTCTTGTTCCATAAAAAATTGATTCAATTTAATAGTTCACTAAAATGTAATGGGTCACTAAATCTTGTTTAAGGGACCATTAGCTCAACATTGATCCATTGAATGTTTAGAGTGCAACCCGGCATTAGAATTGTAATAAAAAGTGTCGATTCGTCTCACATATGACAAAAACTAATGTAGAATAATAATAATGCTTGCGATATTTACTATACTGATAAGCTGTATACCAACATTAGGTGGTTCATTTAACACCCCAAGCGAAAATAACTATAACCCAGTTAACTTAACTATAATTCAACACACCACTGATATATTTTCTCTATTAATTTTTTTGTTTCTATCGCGAAGGAGACGTTGGGTGAGAACTATTCGGAGGACAACCCGTATCGGATATTGGTGGACAAATACGAGGCGCTGTTGAAGATCCAACAGAAGCACAACGCGTTCACGCCGATGGTGCCGTCGGTCAACCACAACAATAACAACAACGGCAACAAGGACGGCCAGAACCGGGGAATATCGCTACACGAGGAACTGCAGATGTCAGGGCAGTTCTCGTCGTTTAACGGCAACGCGTCGGACAGCGACGACAGCAGCGACGACGACGGCCTGCCAACGAAAGGACGGAAGGCGCCCAGCGGGGGGGCCACGTGCAAGTATTCCGAAACGGAAACGACGTCGTCGTCGGGCTTTTCGGACGAGACGAGCAACAAGTGCACGCAGACCGAAACGTTATTCACCGGTTCGTTCCTGTGCACGATATCGGACGGCGACGATTGCCGGTTCAGCATCTACGACGACGCCAGTCCCGTGGAGAGCCGGTTCCGGAAGACGCCCGAGTACCGCCAGCTGTTCCGGGAGATATTCGCCGTTCTCAAGCGAGCGGCCGAAGCCAAGGACGAGGGCGAGAGGCTACCGCTGCTCCAGGACGACGACCGCGGCTACGAGGGCGAAGACGGCGAATGCGTTGACGACACTCCGTCTGTCGGCCGTTCGACCACGTCAGCGTCCGGCACTCCACGAGTGCCACCGGCCACGCCCGCCTGCGAGCACAACCCGTTGATGTCGTCCATAGAGCAGTCGGTGACGGACGAACGGCGTCCGGCCACACCGCCGCCACAGCAACAACAGCCGCCGACCGACCAACAGCAACAACCTCAACGAGCCCAGCAACAGCAGAGAGTGGAACACCAGCAGCAACGAGCCGAACAACAGCAGCAACAGCGACCGGCTGTGGCCGAACAACAACAGCAGCAACAGCAACAGCTGCTGCAGCAGGAGCCGCGCCCGGACACCCGCCGTCACCGCCGGGACATCATCGAGGAGCTTGCGTCCACGGTCAAGCACAAGAAGCACGTCCGGCACCGCAAGTCGGCCGCGGCTAGTCAACAGTCCAGGGACATCAGTCACCTGCTGGAATTCAAGTGGACCGACCAGGTGACGCGCCGGCAGCCCAGAAGTGGCAGTGGCGACAGGCCACCGTCGTCTCACAGGTCCACGTGGTGCGCCGCGCCGATGGATAGCGCGGAAGCGTCGCCCGTCGTGGCCCAACCGTACGCCAGCGCCGCGTCCCAGGAAGTGGCCAGGCTCAAGCTGCTGGACAAGTCGTACGCTGAGGTGTTGAGGAAAGTGCCGCAGACGTTGTCCAACAGGCCGCAATCGCAGTACATTAACAGAAACGCGCATTGATGATTGTTCGCTAATATGGGTTATCAACTTAATTGTTAACTTTACGTATTTAAATTTGTTTTTTCAAATCCTTTATTCCTATAATATTATTATAAACCCATCGAGGGTGGAACAAAAAAAAAAAAAAAACAAAAAAAAAAAACCTATGTAAGACAATAAACTCGTCTAACGATGATTTGTGATGCCACGGAGTTTCCATTACTCCCATTTAATATTATTATTTAAATTTGTATTATTAATATTGATAATTCACTATCAAGATTCATCGTGTCTTAATTTTGTACCTATATGTACCTTTATATAGTATTAGCGTACCTCTATACTACTAAGTTTGTTGCCACCGTTGGTTTTTTGTAACCGTAATATTTAATAACGATATTTCTTATTACGTTTTTTTATTCTTTGAGACAAAAATTAAGTTATATAATTATTATATGTGATGCATGCGTCATAATATATTATCATAAAAGAGATTTGTTTTTTTTTTTTGTAATATTTATTTACTTAAGAGAACTTTGATAAAAAATAATGTTTAATTTTGTTTTTTAATGATCTTTAAAATGATAACTATTACATTATTGTGTGTACATATATAAGTTTGAAAAGAAAAGTGAACGTATATCGTTTTAAACGCTAATTTCAGTTATTAATCAACAAACCTTTTTCTTTTCCACCTACCTATTACAACATCCCACCAAAATATAAAAATATGTTATAAGATATAATATGGTACATAATATTATTATCTCACTGGTCGCTAATCATTTGAATTTGTTCGACATTAAACATGACAAAAGATGTTTCACACGTGGCACATTTCAAACAATATTGAAGTGGCAGTAAAAAAATTTAAATTTGCATATATTAAAATAAGTATGCTAAAAACTAAGTAAAGAGTGAAGACGTGAAGTGAAATGAAAAGTAAAAATAATATTGAAACGATAATTATAATTTCAGAGCGTTGGTATGCTTTGGCGTTCATCTATTTAATTACATTTACAAGGTAATGTAGTTATATACATATTATAATATATGTATTATACATACTTATCTCTTTATAATTGTATAATGGTTTTAAAGACTTACCCATGCATCATGCATGAAGATTTTAATTTAAACACAAAAACACAATTTAATATTTATAATTTTAACTGACCAGTGTGTGATGTACACCAAGAAGTAAGTATTTAGGCATCGGTGGGGTGGGTGGCACTTTTTTTATGTATAATTTTGTGTTTTAAATATACGGGGTGATACACCAAGCATGATCACCTTTCTTTTTATTCTTCAATAACGCAAGTACGCAACTATTCAAAATCTGCTTTTAGGAATTTTTAATATGTTGAATACTAAATTGTCTAAATCTGATACTACATATATTTTATATTTTTGTAAAACTATTTTTAAGGACTCTAGAAAATAATCTCAATGTATACATTTTATTAACTGGAAAATGTGTATTAACTTGTTCCTATTTTGAATAAGGTGCATCAGAATGTTTTTTTAAAAATGATCCACTTAATAATTTGGAATAAAAATGAGAGGTTATTATTTGAAATACAGGAGTTTGTATTGCCACAGGAAACTCCTTAAGTAGAACAAAAATTCTTAAGAATTTTAAAATATGGTCTATTTAAAGATTCTATAAATCAGAACTTGAATAAATTCATTACTAAAAGAACAAAATGAGGCGAGCATGCTCGGTGGTAAATCACCCTGTATATATAATTCAAATATAATTGTTATTTAACAACTATTATGATTCGAACTTATTTTTAAGCCAAAAAATAACAATTTGTACTCTTTCTGTCTATTGAACATTTATTTATACCTATAGGCTGTAATTGGTATTTAGTATTTAGTATTCAGTACTTTCCATATTAAAACTATAGCATATTGAAATGTTGTAAATAACTCTTAATTTTTATTAATTTAATTGTTTTCCTATTTAATTATAAAACTTCAATCTCCGTTTTCAAAAATTGAAATTTAAAGAAGGGGGTGGGGTGGCAGATAAATTAGTTCCGCGGCGCTAAGGTTCTAATAATAGGTACGTTATACTGAGTAATTGGCGTTCTATAGTTTAGATACGCCAGGTCGTAAATATAATAATATATACCTACTTGGCTATTTGGTGTTCGTGGAAACTGGTAGCATAAGTGGTTTTTTCTCTAGTGGTTTTCGTTTAATTTAAAATCAGATTCAAAATAATCACATATTATTACAGTAATATAGAAATATTATATACCATAAACGATACTGGTGGTTGTTGATCTAAGAGATTAATATTTAATAGGTAACATTAAAGCACTGATTTCTCAAATAAAATGTACGTATATGCCAAGTTACAAGCTAGTTAGCCTAGAATACCTACCTAGAATACGGTAGTGACTATAGTAGGCACACAGAATTAATGAAATCATTTAATTTAATTTAATTCAAAGGTTCAAACAATTATTAACTATAGCCAAAGATAAAATATAAACTGCACCTGCCCGCTAAAAATTGACAAACGATGCATAACGAGACTATATCTACAAGGTTAACTTAGATTTTACAAACTTGAATTTAATATTTACCTTCTTCCGACGTGTTGTGTAGTTAATTATTATACTTAATAGTTAATACGATGAGCTGGATGAACGAAGTGACGAGATAATCCACAATAGTACTTCATAATTTTTTTATTTACCAGATATATTTAACTGCAGTGCAGCTTGAATTGGGGGAGGGCGGAGTCCAACTACTTAAAACAAAAATGTATGCATATCTATCCTTATTATTTCAAAATCACATTGACATTTAAACATTCAGGTAAGCGCATTGTTTTTACACTTTTACTGTGTGCAAATGTCTTTCTAATTCAAGCACTATGTTTACTATACGAGTATACGACATTAATTTAATAGGAATAGGGATTACCTCCCAATATGGAGGTAATTTGTTAAAACATTTATGCATGCACTTCGAACCTGCCCCCAAAATACGCGCACTCGACTTACCGGATTCGCCTTAAAAACCGCACACGCAATTTGGTTGCGCACTAACATCGCTCTTTTTTTGGCACCTAATTAGGAAGCAGCTGAAAATTCATTTCAAAGATGACCGTGTAGTCGATGGTCGTAGCCCCTCACACCCTCTCCAATTGCGCAACTAGGATGGCTAGGGAGACTTAGCCCCCCCCCCCCCCGAAAAAAGTATCCATTATTGATTACAGATAGGCAGTGTTCGGAATGTTTACTAAAAAAAATGAATTGGTTCACGATCACATTCAGACATTCAGTCCTTAAAAAAAAGAACTCGTTCACGTAATTTTTTTAAATATTTCTATAACAGGAATTATACTAAGAAAATAATATAATAAAATATAATAAATCAATGTTTTTATTAAATGGTAAATAAATTAAACGATATAAAAATTGCCCAAATTCATTAAAATATTTTTTTCAATTTAAAAAAACGAGTGACGTTCACGTGTCGTTCACTTAATATGAACGTGAACGTGTGAATGTGAGTTTATGAACGACGTTCTTTCTCTCATTGGATATAGACCCCCTATGGGTTATTTTAAGTTAATAGTATTGTTAGGACTGACCCCTCCCCCACCCCCGAACAAAAATTGTAATCCTAGTTGCACCTATGCCATGCACCTCCTTCCCAATAACCATGCTAACAGGCATTAAACCTCAATAAATATTGTTCTTACAATATGCCTTCCTCATCAAAGTTAAAAACTTACTGATTTTAAATTGTTCTTAATTTTTAAGACATGGTATCTGCAAATACTTCTTAGGGATCAATAACCACTTCTCTACGGATAGGAAACAATTTAACCCATTGAGATGGATCAAAGAAATTGCTAAGGATTAACTGGGATCAAAAATATTAGTCACATTAGTAAATTTACTCTTTGGTTTTGTCATTATGCTCCTATTATAGGAAGGTTTTAGATATTTTTATCAGGAGTCGATAAAAACATAGAACTTTGGTATGGTGCAATCGTATAATGTATGGCAGGTGGGGGAAGCTATTTCAGTCGCGGGCGATGTGTGCGGCACGAGCCTCCAGCGAGGTCCGCATTTCGTCCAACAATGAAATATTGCCTTCTCACACGATGAGCCACAAATACTATTTTTTGTTACGCCCCTGCAGGGTTCATCGATAACGGCAAAGATAATGTAGGGATCTATACAACAACCAGACAATTCTACGAAAATAATTTCATAAAAGAAAAATACTTACGCTTCATGCCAGGAGGTTATAATAGGAATATAAGATGTAACCAAAAGTTAATTATTTGTAAGGACCGCAGTTTAGATTTCAGTGTCGGCCTTGCCTAAGTATAAGGTCTATGGATAATAGCATGACTAGGTGGTCGCAAAAGGGTCTTTAGCGCCCCCCGAGTTCTAATTGAGCACCCCTTATTTTGATATGTCCAACTATCATTATTAATAGTGACATACCATCAGTGTTGTTTTTAAAATATGGAATACTATAGCACCCCACGTTTAGAGGTCTAGTTGTGCCTATATCTATGGGTTGTGCAGGATTTATACCGTCCGGCATTTAATTTCACTGGTTAGGTCTACTCGAAGACCGAATGGCCTGGTTAGGTTCACTGGTTATACTATATGATTTGTAAGTATATATATATAGGTGCACATAGGGGGGTGCTTGGGGTTCTTAGCATCCCCGGGTTTAAAATTAGCACCCCAAGTTTAATGTAAAATTTATTTCAGTAATCCACCAATAATTTGTAAATTATTATGGTTTATTGAGTTGGACATTTTTTTTTCCATTATAATTATAAATATCTATTTAAATAGACAATATTATTATAGTTCATGAATTCCAGGCATTACAGAGTGGACTTTTCTAAATTCTAACATTTTTAACAACTGGGTATCATTCAATATTGTCAAAATGCGAATCTTAATTACCTAATTTAAATTGATTACAGGCGTTCTTGAATTTTGTACTCAGGAGACTCAATGTTGTAAAATTGCCAATTGACACTAATTAATATTACCATGTCATAGGACATTAAAATAAATAGCAAGGCCATATTAAACTTTTTCATTATTCTTTACAAGCATTATACATGTTAAGTATACTAACACAGCTTAAATCATAAATTGGTCAATCCAGGGGCGGACTGGGCCGGCGGGAAACCGGGAACTTTCCCGGTGGGCCGCTGTTCAAAAATAATTTGTTATTATTACATTACTTATTACTTAAAATAAAATAGCCAATAGGTATAAATTCAAATGATGAATATTTTATATTTTCATATTATCATTACGCGCGTGTATGAAAAATTGTTTACATTTGGTGTTTAAAAATAGATTTAGGTTTTGGTTCGGCTTATACTCCATCAGGAGTTTGCGTATGATCAATAATTTGAATAATATATTATTT